AGGATGTAGGAGCCAGTATGTTTAGCAGTAGGGACAAAATTTCCATTAATAATACTGTTTGAGGTCAATCACACTAAAGTACTTGCATGGGAAAAGGAGCATAAAACAAATAGAAGAAAGGTATGAATGGTACATCAGGCATGATCGTTATAGTGGTGTTGTAACAGTTTCAACACTATGTTGGATATGTTCCCACATAAATAACAGCAGTCTATCTGCACAGGGAAAGCTAAATATGAAATGAAGTAATATAATTTCACCTATCAAGTGAAAGATTCAAATGGTGCTTTGCAGTATAGATGTTGCAATGCATGATTCTAGAGAAGGAAAAAAACATTCTTGTCTGCAGGAACACTCACTCTTTCAGTCCGTGTCTCTCTTCTGGCAAAATGCTCCAAAATATGAACTATGTATTTTAAAAACCATAAAAACATAAAAAATACTTCTGATGGCATTTTTACGATGTTAATTTATGAAGTTGCTTCTGCCACAGAATACCTATGTTATTTTACTTTATATGTAAAGGAAAGAGGGCTAGAATTTGCCTCTCAATAAAGGCATGAACTTTTTGGGTATGATTCGGACATACCTGTGTTATGAGGTACTTCAGCTGGAGTGTTGGCTGGTGCATGGGCACCTGGTGGTATATGTATGCCAGTGTAAGTACTAGCTGGTATGTTGTTAGCTTCATACGTAGATGATGTTGGTTGAGTTGTTCCACTATGGAGAGAAGACGACCCTGCTTCTTCCCTTTCAACATCTGCTAAGATGACACAAAATAGGAATTACTGCAACTCTTCTGTACAAACACTTGAAAACTTGGGCTTTCTTTAAAACCTCCTTTCAAATTTTTCTTAGTAGAAAATTGCCACCACAGTGTGACATAAAACATTTATCAACCCAAACCACCTACAGTTGATTTGACAAAGTAAAAAAGCAACATACCATAGGATAAAGATCTAGAATCATAGAATCATTAAGGTTGGAAAAGACCTCTAAGATCATAGAGTCCAACCATCAACCCAACA